AAAAAATTTAAGAAAAAAAAAATTGAGGAAAATAATTTGGTGTGTATTTATGTAACTGTCAATGGCTTATACATACATGCCTGTTACACACAGCTAGACACAAGACCTCTTTCAAGTGTTAAAAAACAAAGATGTCAGTTTGACGACTAAGGTGTGCCTGACCTAACCCCAGGGTGTTTTCATGGCGAGGAACTGACTCCATGGCACTTAACAAGACTAAGTAGGCCTCACAAGGCTGTACATCAGAAGTCTCCAGGCAGTGGGGCATTAACAAGTATTTATGGATGTCCAGATGGTATGGTACTAAAAGCTCTGTTGCAGTCAAGTATAACTGCCTAATACAGTATCTTTTAAAACAACCTTTTTGACCTAACCCAATGACCTCATATTCTTCAGGCCTAAAGGGTCTCCAGAGTCCTGGTGTGGCGCTGTGGGTTAATGTGCTAGGCTGCAAAGTCGGTTTAAACCACAAGGTATATGGTTCAAGCTCACCAGCCGCTCCTAGAAAACCCTATAGATGGTCACTATGGGTTGGAAACTGACTCAAAAGCACAACAAAACGTCTCTAGCCAGTGAGTCTGGCTTTACACAAGATAGTGATACAAGTTATCCCACTGGCTATCAAGCGTTTTCTTTTCCACAAATTGCCACCAGGTGAACAGAATCCATTTAAATAGATCCTTTCCATAAAAGCTCTTATCAAGAGAACACAGATCTATCACTAAGGCTAAGATTTCTATAGAACAATATCCGTAACATGTGCTAAATACTTCAGGACAAAAAAACTGGTTATTCCTTAGGTTATTATTATTAGTTCTGGTCAAATCAAAATATATACACATATGTTTTTAAAACAGATTGTATACATTAGAACTATAAATTCATCCTCTTTAAAATTAGTAATGCCCTATAGTTATATTAGCAGAAAGGCTATTAGCAAACGTATCATTCAGATATCAAGTATTGTATTTTCCAGTCAGCAAAGTTAATTTTATCAAACATCCTTTAATTCCATAGAAGACAATATGTTGCATATTGTATACGGAACACACAATTATTTTGTAGTACAATTTTAAAAGTAGCATACAAATTGGAATAGAGAAGTTAAACACTGGTGTACTGACAGCATTTTTGAACTTTAGATAAACTGCATACAAAAGAACTTACAATTCAAATATTAGCCCATCTGAAAACTTTACTTCCCATAATATAAAAATGATACTTGGAGTCACAAAATACTTTTTTTTACTAAACAAACTATATAAACATTTGAAATAATCATTAAAACTCAACATTAGAATTTATAAAGATTAGCTATAAAAATATATTGGCAGTCACTTTTCTTATAAAGGTACCATTCACTACATTACAAAAGAGTCTCTAACATAAAATTGTATTAACTGTACTATTTTTAGAATCTGATAAACTCTACATTAAATTGCTAATAAAATCCTCTTGGAAAAACTTTGGTAAGCATGTTCAGAGAGAGGGTTTTTAAAAAATCCTCTAAGAACATTTTAAGGGCCTGTAAACATTCCATTCTATTGAAACACAACAGAATAAGTAATGTATATTCAACTGTATACAGAATATAGAATCAAAACACAATTTATTATATATTTGTAGAAAATCACCATTCCCAGAGTAACCAAAAACCAAACTATTTAAAAGTACCAAACTTTTAAATAGTGCTGTTTCCATTCTAATAAAAAATTTACAAAAGCACAACTCCATTTATGTACCTTAGGTGTCTTATAGGACAAAGTCTCAAAAATAAGTAACCCAATCTCAAAAACACTCTCAAGTCCAATAAACTTTTAACAATCCATTTCAAAGTCTTGACAATAGAACAAGTATACATGATCAGAATACGTAATTTATATATTTAGTGATGTATTAATTTTTCTTTTACATTTGTAATTGAGAATTTATTGGCAGAAGTAAGAACACACCCAAGTATTACCGACAAGGTAAATTTCAAGAAACAGTAAGAAGTGCAAATCTTAAGGGTAAATTAATTTATTTTTGTAACAATTCAACTGAACAAACATTTTATCTGCCATTTTTTTATTACCGTCTGTTGGTAGTTTAAGATTGAGACTGCTGAAGTTCACGTCCTGTGTCTGTTGAGTATGTTTAGTTTTTACAAAGCTCCCAGTTGTGCCAGCAGCTTCCATGAAGTCACTCCCACTTTACTCTCTGTCACCAGACTTTGTGTATATTGTATCTTAAGTTGTAAAAGCCTAAATAAAAAGCTTCATTTTGACCTTTTGACTTTCAAAACTCTATTAAAAAGAAAAGAAATCCACCAAAATTTTTAGGCAAGTCCACAAAAATATCTTCTTTCTTAAGAGTCAAACATTTTTACGGGCATAAAGATCCTTCAAAGTTTTTAACTCTTCTATTAGAGTTTTATTTTGATTTTCCAGAACGGCAACTCGATTTTCCAGGCATTTCACATATTCTTTCTTCTTTCTGCGACATTCTCGAGCAGCTTCT